TGTTATAGTCAATTTTATATGGTGTTTCCTTGTATGTATCTCTCCCTTCAGTTTAAAATTAGTTATGAGGGAGATTAAAATAGCAAAAGAAAAGCACCAAAAAAATTTTTCTAAGAAAGAAAAAAAAGATTAACAATGTCTAAGTCTTCATGTCAGAAGTTAGATGAATGAAATCAAAAACTGCACCTGTATCTGACCCTGAAAGAGTGAACAAAGAAACTGTATGATTAAGAATCATAGGCCCTGACTTGAAAAGGAATTAAAACGACAGTTTTAACACAATTAAGTTTATAACTACAAAATTCTATATATACTTTAACTTCCTAACTTTAAAGTATTTCAGTTCTATCAAGCTATAATCCTCATATCTAAGGTCATAACAACTGTAAAATATTTTGGAACTTGCAAGTTTAGGGAAAGGAAGTATAAGCCATGAGGTACCAATGGGAGTAATGAGCCTAACTAATATCTCAAAAGTTCTTACTGCCTCTTAGAGGACAAAGCAATATGTTCCTTGAACATAAATACTCAGTAACACACAGTGAAGTAACTACCATTAATCATCTGCAAAAATACATATGATATCACTGTGAAAAACCTGTAATTCAAATAGTTTTTAAAAAATGAGTTACTAAAGAAATGGCACTAATTTCAGTAATTTTAAAAATATACATGGCTACATACTATGGTACCTCTTAGCAATATGCCAACAACTATAATTAATTTGCATTAAAAATAAGTATGTTATCAAACTCAATTAAGCATTTCACTCACCATTAAGCATTTGTTGAATGCCTACTAGATACCCACAATAGCAAGTTCTTCATGAGTATAAAATTAGAAAGCAAACTTATGTCTTCTACAAATAATTTTATAATCTACATAATGTAATAAAATGTACACACCTACGAAAAAAACTACTCAAGAAATTAAAACCAAAAACAAGGCAATAAAGTAAATGTTGCATACATTGGGCATAGGAGAGGTAGCACGATCAGATGTAGGTAAAAGTAAAAAGCATAAATGATTAGAAGGTTTAAGATGTGGACATTAGTTCATAGCAAAACTTGCAACAATAATCCAGGACCAGGCACAGAGTAAGTGCTCAATAAATGCCCAGCTCAGGAAGTTCTCAACAGTTACACTTTGGCTTACTGATACAAATAAAGCAACCACATAAAACTTTTATTTATAATAACATTTCTAAGACAAAAACAAAGTATATGCTTTTTAAAATATTATAAATTCATGCCTATAACTGTCTCAAAACAATGTGAAGTGTTGGTAACGGTGAGTTAAAAGTAAATGAACATTATGAAAATACGTATTTTCAATGCATTGAATCATTGGTAAGAAACTTTCCATACTTCTTTAGCTATGCAATAAAATGTACGAGAGATGGTAAAACTATAAGAATAAGGATGACTTTAAAACTGGTTAAAATTAAACAAAGGACTAAATGGATCTTCCAAATGAAACTGCAATTTATAAAAACTAAAGTGGAAAAGAAATCTACTGTTCAGCAAGACCTGTTAAATGTCAGATACCGATATAGGTGTTTAATATGTTTTCCAGTTTAATTCTTAAAACAACCCTGGTCCACAATAATCGGCAAGTTTTATGGATAAGGAAACTACAGATTTTAGAATATAACATGCCTAGGGCCACATAGAAACTCAATAATACAGAAAATGAATAACGTAAGCCTCTTGTTGAGAAAGGAAATTAAGAAATCAGAAATATCAGTCTCCCTCTAAGAAGGCAATCTGAACTTTTCACTTCCAGACAAGATGGACTAACGGGAACTGGATCTATCCTCTCACCTCATATAACTTTTCAAAAAATGGACAAAATGTAAGAATTGTTTGTGATATTGGATATCAAGCAATGAAAGATAGAGATCCATAAGAGATGGAAATGAATGAGGCGGACCCTACAATTGCCCCAGCTTACTACACCTTGACAGAGTTACCAAGACACAGCACACAGAGATGGAACCTACGGGGAGACTGGCAGATTTCCTGAGGTGAGCACATGAGTTCCGTGGTAGAGGGCATGGAGAGTCCAGGGAGACCAAGTCAGTTAGAGTTCACTAGACAGAGCACCCCCCCAAAAAAGTTGTACAGAGAGAGAAGCCCAGAGATATTCAGAGGGTTCTGTTTGAATATTCAGCAAGTAAGTGAATAGTGCATGTGGGTGAGATAACTACCAAGGCTGGGGGAAAAGCCTCCAAAAGGGTTTCAGAGCAGCGTCCAGCACTCACA